GCTGCCCCCATGGAGACTCCCCAGCTGGGGCCGCCGCCACTTCCTCGGGGGGCCGCGCCTCGGGAGTCACATAAGTATGAATCCACCCGCAGCCCCTTTCCCAGCTTGCTGGTCCAGGAGCCGCCCTCGGATCCCCGCCTGCAGCAAACAGGCCTTTCCTCCTCCGGGCTTTGTCACATGCTGCTCTTCCCTGGGGGAAATGGAGCCTGTAACCCCCCAAGCTACGGCTCTGCTCCACGATCCTGGCAGGGAGTGCGGGGTGTTGCTACTCACTGCAGTGAAAAACGAGCTGTGTCAGTATTACGGAGCATAGCTACACCCTGGTGAAAGGCTGGCAGCTCCCCTTGCAGGAGTCTTTTCCTGCTACCACCCTCCTTCAATTCTCCCCGCCGACTTTTCCCTGCACTAAGCGCCAAGGAGACCATAGGACTCTGGGAATGCATTGTTTGGCCAATGGGGTGCAGACTTCTGTCCTTATTCTTCCCACTTAAGCTGTGCCTCACCCCGTGCACTGCTATTTATACCCATGTAATGCACTGTGCTCCACCCTGCCAGAAGGCCTGTGGTATATTTTACCTGTAGACAGTTGAGGGCTACGTCTACACTGGCAGCTTCTTGCACAAGAACTATTTTGCGGAAGTGTTCTTGCACAAAATATCTACACCTACACTGGTATGTACTTTTGCGCAAGAGCATTTATGGCAGTGTGAATGCTGTCTTGTGCAAGAAAGCTCTGATGGCCATTTTAGCCATAGGGGTTTCTTGCGCAAGAAATTCATGTTGCCTGTCTACACTGCCCTCTTGCGCAAGAGCTCTTGCGCAAGAGGGCTTATTCCTCATGGAGAGAGGAATAACTCTTCCAGAAGAAGGCCTGTTTTCTGATGCCAGACTGTAAATTTACTTGCGCAAGAATGTGTGTGCAGTGTAGACACCCAGTACGTTTTTGAGCAAGAACAACTGTTCTTGCACAAGAAGCCGCCAGTGTAGATATATCTTTGTAGTTTTAACCTGTTATTGGTTCAGCTAGATGAGAGTGACGTTAGGTTAGGGCCAACTAACCACAAAGGTTAAAACAGATACAGTAAACTTCCTATAATCAGGCACCTTTAGGACCCAGGGGGTGCCGGATTATCAGATATGCCAGACTATTGGACGAACTGTTCTTGCACAAGAAGCCGCCAGTGTAGATATATCTTTGTAGTTTTAACCTGTTATTGGTTCAGCTAGATGAGAGTGACGTTAGGTTAGGGCCAACTAACCACAAAGGTTAAAACAGATACAGTAAACTTCCTATAATCAGGCACCTTTAGGACCCAGGGGGTGCCGGATTATCAGATATGCCAGACTATTGGACG